CATCTCGTCTGAGTCATGGGAAGACTCTCTCTTTCCCTTGATGTTTTTTTTTTTTTTAATTTTTTTTTTCAACGTTTATTTATTTTTGGGACAGAGAGAGACAGAGCATGAACGGGCGAGGGGCAGAGAGAGAGGGAGACACAGAATCGGAAACAGGCTCCAGGCTCTGAGCCATCAGCCCAGAGCCTGACGCGGGGCTTGAACTCACGGACCGTGAGATCGTGACCTGGTTGAAGTCGGACGCTTAACCGACTGCGCCACCCAGGCGCCCCTCTTTCCCTTGATGTTGATTGATAACTCCGGGGTTTGTGGGACTTAGGAAGACTATGGATGGGCCTTTGCTCTCTAGTCAATTATGCTTCTGTACTCAGGGGTCCCTGCTTCTAACACTAAAGGCTATTCAAAGCAGAGAGCTCTTGTGGGGCACCTATGCCACTGTGATAAGCTTGGTCGCAGACATCTTTGCTTCTGCCTTCAACACGGTGAGTCTGGCACTCAGTCCTCCCCAGGCACCTGTGTAGCAATCCCATCCATCCCTCCATTTCAGGGAAGCAGCTTTCTGGCCTCCTAGCCTAAACCCTAAATTCCCACCTCCTTGTAGTCACCAGGGCATGGAGTTGGACCATGCCCCTCTCTTGCCCTTGAGACAAAGACGCCTCCATCCTCTCTCTTTCAGAGACCGCTATCACCCACAGATCTGATGGTCAGAACTCGTAAAGGCCCCTGGAGTGAATGAGCCAAATTCAATAACATAAAGACCAGGCTTCCCTTAAAGGGAAAGAAAGAAGATTCTCCTTCTGCGTCTTCTCCTGCCCCTCCCTCTTCGTTATTCCCCTTTAAGACCGGTACACAAGAGAGGTACCAATTAAGTTCTCAATTACTCATTTTGTTAGACGTATAAATAAATATAATTTTAAGTATAAATGAGGTGATGTGGTTTACTATATTTCATAAAATCTAAGAGGCGTCAACTGTAAGCCATGCTATTACCTTATGTTTAAGTAAGAAGAAAAAAATGCTATCTATTATAATTATTAGATGCTGTGGACTGTATGATGCATCACAATTTCAGAAGTATTGATATGTGGGAAAAATGATTTTTAGAAGCAACAAAATATAGTACTACATTATTCTGCTCCTAGACTTTTCTAGTTAGTAATTTACCCTGGAGTTCTCTCTGTGTTGTTACATAAAGATCGATCTCATTTTAAAAATTAGTCTAGGGCACCTGGGTGGCTCAGTTAAGTGCCCAACTCTTAATTTCGGCTCAGGTCATGATCTCCCAGTCATGAGATCGAGTCCCACGTTGGGCTGTGTGCTGGCCGTGGAGCCTGCTTGGGATTCTCTCTCTCCTCCCTCTTTGTTCCTCCCCTGTTTGCACGCTCTCTCTCTTTCTCAAAATAAATACACTTAAAAAATATATCACATAAAAAAATTGTTCTGTAGTTTTCCAAATATATATATGAAACAATTTGCTTAATCATTCACTCGCCAAAAATAATAATCTTTGCATTTGAAAACAGTGTTTTAAATAAAATTTCTTATACTGGGGCACCTGGGTGGCTCAGTCAGTTAAGCGTCCCACTTTGGCTCAGGTCATGATCTCACGGTTCCTGAGTTCCAGCCCCGCGTCGGGCTCTGTGCTGACAGCTCGGAGCTTGGAGCCTGCTTCAGATTCTGTGTCTCCCTCTCTCTCTGCCTCTCCCCCTCTCACATTCTGTGTCTCTCTCTCAAAAATAAACAAGAAAGAAAGAAAGAAAGAAAGAAAGAAATAAACTTTCTTGTATATTTTTGTGAATATACCCAGTTCCTAGAGGTAGAATTACTAGACCATATTAAATTTTGACCGTTACCACCAATTTGTCCTCTAAAAAATGTCTATTTATAATCTTGCAATAATGTCTGAGTGCCTACTCCCCCAGACCCTTGTCAAAACTGGGTAACATCAATATTTTCTATTTTTCCAACGTAACTGGCAAAAACACGGTATTATGTTTTAATTTGCACTTCTCTGGTTGCCAGTAAAGTTCAGCATACTTTCACACATTCACAAACCACATTTATTTTTTCCTTGTTATCTTGACTATGCATGTCCTCTGACCATTTTACTATTGAATGGTACATTTTTTAACTGATTTATGGATGTGTTTTGTGCACTAAGGCTAATTAGTCTAAATGTAACTAATATGTATTTTCTTTTTGTTTATTTTCCCCCAATTTTCCCGCTTTTGTTATTGTTGCTGAGATATAACTTTTTATGTAGCCATATCTTTAATTTTACTTTTTTATGGCTTCTGGGCTTTGTGTGGTTTAAAATATTTTACAAAGTGCAAGATGGTAGAATCCGTTTTCCAGAATGTTCATGTGTGTGTCATGTGTAGGAGTATGTGTGCATGTGTGTGCACACATGCGTTTGTGCGTGAATACATACTTTCAGCCTTTTGTCCATCAATAATTTATTTTTGTGTATGTTGTACGACGGGGATCTGACTTTTTTCCATATCATTAGCAAATCATCCCCATGCTCTTTGTTGAATAGTGTTGAATACCTTTTGTGGTTGAATATCTTTTCATCCCGATTTGAAAGTTAACTTTATTATAGACTAAATTCCTACGTTTACCTGTATCTGTTTCTGGGTTTTCTAATCTGCTTTCTTGAACTATTTTTCCTCAGTTCTAATTACTGTGATTTCATATTTTGTTTTTATATCTGTTGGGGTAAATCAGAGAAGAAATAGAAATATACATTAATTCTCCTAATATTGATTGAGTGTCCCCCATGTGCTGGGCTTCATTGTAAGCCCCTGAGTGGTGTATCTAATAATCTTACTGGACTTTAATGTAATTGTTTTTTAATGTTTATTTATTTATTTGTTTGTCATTTATTTTTTATTTAGAGAGAGAGAGTGTGTGTATGTGAGAGAGAGCAGTGGAGCGACAGAGAGAGAGAGAGAGAGAGAGAGAGAGAGAGAGACAGAATCCCAAGATCTGCGCAGAACCCAATGCGGGATGGGGCTCTAACACAGGAACAGGGTGATCATGACCTGAGCCAAAATTGAGGGTCGGCCACCTAACCGACTGAGCCACCCAGGTGCCCCTGTAGTTGTTACCAGGTTTAAAAATTAATTCTCTTTGTACTTTTCAATACTTTCTTGGCTTTCTTTTTAGCATTTTCTCTTCTAGGTGAACTTAAAAATTGTTAAAAAGAATAAAAATCACTATGTTCTGTAAGCAGTTCTCTAAATTTGATTGGGGTCACATTACTTTATAGAGCTAATTGATTGCATTAATTTACAGAATAGAGTTATTGAGCAAATTAGGCAAATTAAACTATTTATCATTTGGGGTCTTCCTATGCAAAAAAGGTATACCTTCTTTTATGTGCCCTACTTCCCTTTTTTAAAAAAAACATGAGGATAATCATATTAGTAACTCATAGGATTTCTGAGAATAATGAAATCATCTGGATAATTCCTGGCACATCATAAGAACATAATAAATATTAGTTCTTATTATCATTATTATTTTTATCATTGTTGTCTGACTCTCACTTTTTTCAGGTCTTCTTTATGTCTTTACAATATAGTTTTATAGCTTTATTCCTGATAGTTTATAGGTTTGGTTGTTATTTTACTTCCATTGTATGCTCTAGTTGTTTATTGCTAACATATAAAAAATGTAAATTGAAATCTACATGAATTCTCCCAATATTTATTCGGTGTCCTATATTGGCTCTTTCCATTCCTTCCTCCAGTATAGCTCTGGTGCCATTGGGAAATACCAGGTGTGGAGAAACAGAGGCCAGATTCAGGAGTTACTATGTGAGCTTCTCTCAAGGTTGATGTGTTATCACTCCCATGTCAAACATAAATATGCTTTAAAAATTTTTTTTAACATGTATTTATTTTTGAGAGACAGAGATAGAGCATGAGCGGGGGAGGGGCAGAGAGAGAGGGAGACACAGAATCTGAAGCGGGCTCCAGGCTCGGAGTTGTCAGCACAAAACCTGACGTGGGCCTTGAACTCATGAACCGCGAGATCATGACCTGAGCTGAAGTTGGCCGCTTAGCCAACCGGACCACCCAGGCGCCCCCATAAATACATTTTCAATGCTCAATTGTTCATATTAATCTTCCCCCTGACCGAGTTGGATACATTGGAGAATTGACTATATTGCATATGGAAGTAATTATTGCCCTCAGAATCTCTAAATACTGACTTATACAAAATCCAGATTTGACCGTCTATGTTGCAGATAGCCATTTGATCCAAAGGTTGGGAAGTCAGTTTGTTTTGAGACCTCAGAGCTAACTCAGGGTGCCCAACATGAGGATATGACTTGGTGGATTCCGGCCATTCCTGTGATGCTCAGAGAGGAAGTGGTTAAGGGTTACCCAATCTGCCAGAGAGTTTAGATACGATACTTCCAAATGAGACATCATGCATAGCATCTCACTATGCTATGCAAGGTAGAATATAGTGGCTGAGGCTGCTATGAGTCTAAGAGGACATCATCTCTCCCTTGAGCAAACTATCCAGGCGATTTATTGATACACTGGGCAACTCAGTCACATCATTAAGATCAAAGGAAGTCTATGATGGCTGGTGTTAAAAATCTACGGTGTTAGATTTTTAAGAAAAAACTCCCCAGGCAACGATCTTCACATGCAGATTTTGCTGGCTGTGTTCAGGTCTAGGAAGCAGTCACACAACCACACGTTTATCTATTTGGAGGCTTTCAAAGGTCGGTGGAGCCCACTCAGTTTATACTCCCACCATTTAAAAGTGCATATTGCTGTTCTGGACATTGTTTAACTTGGTCTTATCTCTCTCTATTCATTCTTGCTACGATGGGATCCCCTCAAGTGTACTGGCCCGATTCCACTACGTCAGACGTATGCAGCAGGGAGAGGAGCTACACCAGCAGCTGGGGGAGCTGAGCGGAAGGAAGGAGGCTAAAACATATTAATCCCATTTCAAGTAACAGGCACTGTGTTAAATGCTTTCCGACACAATACCGCATTTAATCCTCACGGCAGTCTTGCAAGGAGAGCATTGTTACGATTACTTTCACACAGGAAGAAACTGAGGGTTAGAGAAATTAAGATCTGAACCAGGGTCTATTGGACTCCAAACCCCATGGGTCACAATTCTGAGCTCCAGCTAGAACTGCCAGTGATCTTAGGCCAGGTCTCCGGGATTCCTTGAGATAAGACTTATGCAATACTGGGTCCGAAGATGAGGCTAAGTGGGTTGGACCTGTCCAGTTAGCTCTGGGTTTCTTTACCGGGAAAGCGTTCCATCAAGCTCTCCCCTGATGCGCGGGTCAAAATTCTTTCCAACCGAATGTAGACCTGTAGTCATCATGGGAATGTTGCTATGTTGTTCTTTCAGCTCCAAACTCTACTTCTTGGAAACCGGGTCACAGACTTGTAGGAGTTTCCATCCACGGTTCTGCTTGGTCTGTTAAGATCAGATGAACAGGGCTGAGGAAGCTGTAGGCAGACAGAATTAGCGGTAATTCTTTCCCACAATACTGCGCTCCATTCTTCTAACATACCTCAAGTGCATGCCCTCGGCCAAAACAGATCTGGCAAGAGGGAGATTAACAATGATGACAAAAATAGTCCCTGACTTGATAAAACAAATATCAACTGGGTCAGGGGACAAGAACTGCCCATAACCAACCTTGGGATCTAATATGTTCTTCATTAGGACAGGATTGCACCACCTTAAGTATTTCACCTCATGCTAACTCTGAAGTTAGACCTTATACCCCTGCCCTTGAACTTAGTCAATATTTGCAAACTGCAGGGGGAAGAAAAAAGTATACAAATCAGCAAGTGGGGCAAATGTAAGACATTTGGGAATAACGTTTTTGGTTTTCTGGAAGCTCCTAATTCCCTATCCGTTAATCTTTCAGAACGGACCTTCGGAGACCAGGTGATTCGGGCAGACGTTCTTACGTGGTCGTGAGTGCATCGTCGTGGGGTGGGGGGCGGAGGGGGCGGTGCTAAGTTTTCACTGAATAAAATGTGGCTTTGTCTAGGTCTGGTCTCCCGAATTTCCTCTCAAGATAAAGATGAGCTCATTTGCACCTATCCGCCTCTAGATCAGTAAACACTCTGCCTGGGTCAAATTCCAATCCCAGACCTGAGGCCCCGGTACTTCAGGAGTCCATTGATTTTCCCTTTTCTGAGGCTGCAGGGTGAGGGGTCAGGGCAGGTGGGGGTGCGGGCGGCCTGGATTTCCTCTGCCTCCCACCTTTGCCACCATACGTGCTCTCCCCGAGTCTCCAGCTCCCAGAAGCGTGAGCGTCAAATCCCACTCCGCCCAGGGCTAGTTTCTGTACCTGACCGCGCCTTCCTCACCGTCTCCTTCTGTCGCCCATTCTGCCCTCTACCCAGACTTCCAGTGTGGTTTTGGTGCCATCTGTTTCACAAGTTAATTTTTTTTTTTCCTGCTCACTCACCCTGAACTCTGGTCTTCCTAAATAAGGTTCTCCTGCCTCTTTCCCCACTTCTTCCTTACCTGCGGTAGGGAACTACGAACCCATTATCACATGGACACACAGCGAAACACAGCATATCCCTTCTGCACATTTGACGCCCCCCCTCCCATGTGTCACAGACACATCGACATCCCACTTGGCGCGTCCTTGTTTGAGGAAAACAAGTGCACCCTGCTTGCTTCCCCTACCAGATGCTTGGCGACAGTCGATATGGGCTATCGAATTGGCAAGGGAAAAGACAAAGGAAGCAAGCAGCCGTGGTGGCATTTAAAATGTCAGTGACCACCCTGTGGGGGCAGCCGTGTTTCCCAGACCTCAAGGTTAACGAGAATTCTTCCTACCTGACCGCCTCTTCCGCCTACCATTTATTGAGCACGTTGTATACGATGCACTGTGCCCCTCAGAGTTCATTTACTCCTTGGTGTGAGAGGTGGGTGTTCTTTTTATAAGAGATCTTGATTTTATAAAGCGATGATTCAAAAAGATGAAAAACCTGACATGTCACGGACTAGGCTTCAGATGTGGGTGTGTTTGGCCCCGTGCCCCCACCTTCTTCGGGAGTCACTGACCGCTGAGGTGAGCCCTGCAGTCCAGACTCCCCCGCCCCCGCCCCTGCCCCGGCCCCCGAGGACACAGACCAGACCAGGGGATCCATTGATCCAGGTCAGGACCTCACTTCCTCTCGGTGGTGAAGGGTGCACTCTTCCCTCCCTCAGTGCTTTCGTATTCTAATACCTATGCCTCTTACAAACAAAAGTTGTGCTTGTTTGCTGAAAAAAAAAAAAATTAAATGCATACATTTAGGCAGAAATGTATAAAGCCAGTGTTTGAACTCCCCCCTCGCCGAAATGCCTCCTTGCCTATTTTCACTCCTCAGGAGTAGCATTTACTATGAAGGTGCATGTTCTCACAAATAGTGTGTGTGCACATGCATGTGGATATAGATAAAGGTATAGCAACTTAAAAAAAAAAAAAAAAACCCAAGGGTGCCTGGGTGGCTCAGGCGGTTAAGCACCTGACTTCAGCTCAGGTCAGCATCTCAAGGTTCCTGACTTCTGCATCAGGTGAGCCCTGCTTCCTTCTCCCTCTCTCTCTCCACCCTCACTCCCTTTCGCCCCCCCCTTAAAAAAAAAAACAAAAACAGAAACAAAAAGCCCGAGTGGAGTCATGTTACAGAAATATATTGCTCTATTACTTTAAAAAATCAACAACATATTATGGATAACCTTCCATTTCACTACATAGCTGTAGCTCAACCTCAAACTTTAATTGGATACATAATATTCCATAGGCCATGGACTTAAAATACAAATCTTACTACTAAAGGCACGAATAAAACTTAAAAAAAGCATGGATAAATTTTTTTTTTTTTTTGCGTGGCTGTGGTAACATAACAGGGAAATTATTCTTGAGCTCACTTGTACCCACGTTAAAGATACCTCAAAGAGGAGTAAAGGAACGTGTTTTAACAATTTGCCAAGTGATGGATATTTAATTTGTCTCCAATTTCCCCTTATTACTCCATAATCTTGCAGTGACTATCCTCGAACATTCCCCATGAAATTTACGTATAGTAACTGAGATCTTTCCGTCTTTAAACCAGTATCTGTGACTCTTCCTTGTTCAGTCAGGGGCAAGCGCTGCTTCTAGAAGGGATTCATGGCGCAAATGCAGAGAATTAAGAATCGAGGTTTTGACTTTAGAATTTCTAAATAGGGTCCTAAAATTTAGTATTGAGCTAATAGTCTTGAAAGTCAAGGCTTTTAATTTGCCAGTCAGGCTTTTTTTTTTTTTTTTTTGTGATAAGAAAGACTGTTTCATGTTCTTTGCAGCATTATTTACAGTAGCCAAGATATGGGAATAACCTAAATGTCCATGTATGGATGAATGGCTAAAGAAAAGGTGATATATACAAACAATGGAATATTATTCAGCCATAAAAAAGAATGAAATCTTGCCATTTGTGACAACATGGATGGACCTTAAGGGTAGTATGCTAAGTGAAATAAGTCAGATAATGAAAGACAAACACTGGATGACCTAACTTATGCGTGGAATCTGAAAAACAAACAAACAAACAAACAAACCAAGCTTAGAGATACAGAAACGAGATTGGTGGTTGTCAGAGGTGGGAGGTGGAGGATAGAAGAAACGGGCGAAGGGGGTCAAAGAGACAAACATCCAGTTATAAAATAAATAAGTCATGGGGAAAAATCCCCACAAACAGTTATTGCTATTTTATTACATATTGGATGTGGGAAGGGGGTAGAGTAGAATAAATCTTGAAATTTACCTGAAAACTGATTTTGACAGGGTAAGAGAAAAAGTGTATTTTAAAATGCTAAAAGAAAAGACTGTTTTTAGTTTCAAAAGCAAAGCACCAAAGGAATCAAGGCAAAAAGCTTCATCCACAATGAAGAACCTAGAGCAGTAACAAATGAAGAGGACTTTTAGGTGACCCTCACTGGCTGGAAGCTTTCCTGGACAGAGAAACAAAATGGCCGAGAGACTTGCTTGCAAAGGCACTTTGCCCCTCTTGTCCTGGGCTGAGCCTGAGGCTTCGGTAGAGGTGACAGAGCAGCCAAGGATGTCTGGGGTTCAGAAGAAGGAATGTGTATCTATGCTTTACCTGGCACCTAGAATGTAGAAAGCATGCAGACGTTGCCCTGGGCCACACGGTGTGGCTGTGGTAGGGTACAGACGTTATGAGCACCAAGTCCAAAGTGGCTTGAGAGGAGTCAAATGTTCCTGTGACCAGACCACTGGACACGGGATGGTGAAGAAATGAGCCACTGAGGGCCTGAGAATGCCCCAGAGGAAAATGGTATGAACCCTGCAGGTCAGACGCCCAATGCAGAAATGACCATTTTAGCAAAGCATGGTGCCTTGATGACAACTGGGAATCCAATGCCTCATGTCTTCCTGCTCTAAGACTAGAGAGGACATCCGCCGGGACAGAAGCCTCCTGGCTAACCCATCTTTTCTCATCCTCAGGGAAAGGTGCAGAAAGGGATAAAACCTAGTCTGGGACAGTGGCGATGCCTGAAGTGACCGGATTGTTTCTCCCAGCAGACAAAAGGGGAGTTTGATGAAAGAATTTAAGTTGAGTTGTAAAAAAAAAGAAAAAAAAAATCACAGATTTTAATGTAACCAGATACGTGCCTTTATAATTCCTGTTTGTCCATGGGTACAAATATTCTTAAAAGCTGTCTGCTGCTTTTGTTGAGTTCAGTGGGTTGGTGAGGCAAGGCATGCACATTTTAAATAAAAAAACTATGCCACGTTCCTCTCCAGTGTCCTGTTGCTCACAATGCAAGCTCTCGTAAGCATCACCAAATTGTCTGCAGTCCGTGCTGCCCAACTCACTTCTTTAGAGCCTGGTATCTGATTCTTTGCTCTTAGAATATGAACAAATGGGTTTTTATTTTCAGTTGATATTCCAGAAAATGAAAATCTCAGGATTCCTTTTCTGTAGAATAAAGAGCCTGTTTTTAATTAGCATTATTTTTCTGGATTTCTTATCTTCTTCGTCTTTTTTAAATTGTTGAGGGAAATCCTTAGAGCTCCTCTGTGTGAACCCATCTTTATGCAAAGACTTGGAATTTCCAAAAAGTATGTTAAACTGAGACATGACCTCTGAGTTAGGCAGCCAGGCAAACTAAAATGGCTGAAAGAGCAAAGGCTACTTGGCCCTTGTTGGAGAAAAAATTAGGAGACGGTCCCACATAGTGGTTGGGTTAGCTAACAGTGCCAACAAGAAATATTTATTTCCTTTATCATTAGAAGGTAGGAAAAATAAAACAAATCAACACACCAAGAAACTTTTTCCTGCTTTTCACCAAGAAGTAAATCCAGATCTTCCTACATACATCCCAGTTTGTTATAAAAAATGAGCCTTGCTGGTTGGTAGTATAGCATTTATTATTATTTTTTACTACACTGCTCAACTAAACTTACTTACATCTTTATTTGGACTTTTTGCCCTTGTATTACTAGATGTAGACTTTATAAAACAAATTGGGATGAACCATGTATCCAATATGATCTCTTTTTGAATAGTTGGTATATTTCACCCATAAAACTATAAAGGCCAGATGCCTTTGGAGAAGAGATTTTTGTTTGTTTTAGTTTTGTTTTTTTGGACAACTTTTACAATTTCTTCTGTGGCCTTAATTCTTTAAAAAAAATTTTTTTTTTTTTTACCTATAGAGTAATATGTGATACCTACTTTTTGCTTAGAAATGTGCCCATCTCATTGAGATTTCTCACTTGTCTAACCAAAGTGTTGATTCGACAAATTCTTGAATATCAAATAGAGAAAAGGCATTAATAATATTCAATTTGGTAATGTGTAATTATTCATGAGTTTTTCTAGAATGCACATACCTACACTCAGATGCACACGCACCTACCTCAAGACTCGTTTGCTCAACCTTACTATCAGTCACTGGGCTGGGATTTAGTGAGAACATTTCTTCTGGTTACCAAAGATTTTCCATTTGTGAATAATTGGAAATAGGACCATGGACTTTTGGAATTATTTCCCAATAGGCCAAGGGTAACGACAATAACAAGAAATCCATAGCTCCAATTTTGATGGTCTAGAACTACCCACACCAAGGAATTTCCAATACCAGCAAAGCACAGGGTACTATTTGCACAAGCAATGGGGAAAACCCAGTGCTTTCTCTACTGGCAGATTTATTTGCAGAGACGCAGGCATTTTTTCCAGGGCGGCTGCCAAACTATCCCCTGAGCCTGTCTAGCTAGCACCTGGACAACTCAGCAGGGGGCTTTGCAAATAATACCCTCCCCTTGGCCAGGGTAGAGGCAGCCTGAGTGATTCTGTTTCAGGCTGCTGTGGCACCTTAATCTTTCTAAGCTGCTTCACCCCTATTCTGGGGCCTACCCAAGCACGGCTGGCTGGAGGTGTGGCCACAACAGCTCTATGCCTGAGGCTGAGGGCAAGGGCCTGAGGAAATGGTAGGTGTGGGAGAGAAGCTCTCAGTTCCTGGAGAACTTCTGTGTTCTTCAAAATTTGAATGTTCTGGGAAGTTGCGATGAGTCTGGGCATAATTCTTCCATCACAACTTAAAACAACATGGCAAGAGGAGAGAAGCTGTCAACTGTGGGAGAAGAAAGGAAACTAACAGTGATTCAGCACAAACCTATGTGCCAGGCTCTGTGTGCTTTCTTTTTTGAAGGTTTGATAGAAATCACTGCTTCTTAATTTTTTACGCTCATCCACGAAGATCCCTCCCTCTACCCAATGAGTGCTGCTGAGCAGAAAACTGCTTTCTTTAAATGAAGGTTTGACAGAACCTGTTATTTCATACCCATATTGATACTTAGAGATCTGCTCCATCACACCTGACAAGATCGTTGTTATTTTACGCAGAGAACTCCTTGTTTTTTTCAACGAACATTTTATTGTACCTTAGTCTAAAGATGAAGCTCCT